ATTCACTCCTGACTCACTGGGATCAGCACATCCCTCTTTCCACCTCTGGCTGCTGGATTTGGGAATACCARCCACCACAAAGGCTTGTCTGAACACTGGTCAAGTCTCAAGTCCCAGTGGAATCCACAGTGCAAATCCACTGGGAAAACCAGGCCAACATTTCSTGACTCTGTGCTGACTTTTGCATTTTTTACTGCATTTTACAAGTGGTTTCAGTTTCTTCCACTTTGACTTCAATCAGTATTYTCATGGTTTGGGTTTGTTTTATGAAAATCAGATTAAAATGAACTGTATTAGGGATCCTCCCCAAGAGGTTAATAATTTTTAAAAGGGTTTTATGCTTTCARTGCTGTAAAAGTCACTGAAATACGGAATTCTGAGATATGGAATTTCAGCTGAGGGAGGGCAGGGATGGATGGGAATTGGGAATTGCTGGGTGTAAGGATGGGAAGGGGTTGGGATGGAATTCCMAGARAAGCTGTCCCTGGATCYGTGGCARTGCCCAAGGCCAGGCTGGACAGGGTTGGAGCACCCWGGGATGGTGGGAGKTGTCCCTGCCATGGATGGGGTGGAATGGGATGGGAATGGGATGGGATTTATGTCCCTCCCAACCCAAAACATTCCAGGATTCCATGGAGACACTACCCTGATGCCCATAGAATGATCTCAGTGCAGGATATGGCTCTGGATTGGTGTTTGCCCATTCTGCCCCACTGGTGTGGACACTGCTTCCCACCTTTTTTCCTTTGTGGATATTTAAAACTCCTGATTATGAAACACAAACAGCAGAAAACAAATGCACAATTTTCTGACAACACCCTTGTTTTATCAGCTGCCTTGTGAAGATCCCTTCAAAACTGGCAGAAAAACTCTCTGCCCTATTCTGAGCCCTCCARCTCCCATCCATCTTCTGGGTGTCAGGCACCAAATTTCTGAATTTCCTCCACACCAGGAAAATTGTTTTATTCTCCCCATGCACAAAATGGATGTTTTATTTTCCCCACACTACCTTATCTCAAAACCACGACAATATTTATGTTTTTAAAACCTTCCAGGGACCTGCTGCTGAAAAACAAAGCAGGCAGATTCCAGCTTGCAAGGCTTGTTTGGTTTGAATTATCCTTCCCAAGAAGTTGAAGGACCTTTCTAATGGAAACACGAAGTGAACAACCCTGGCAGGGAGATAAGGAGAGCAAATAAACATTTCACTTTCCTATCTCTCTTGAATGATTCCTTCTGCAAACACTGACAGAGATGATCTCACCCTGTGAGATGATCAAATCAACAGCTCGTTTATTAAACAGGTCTTGCTCCTTATTAACTGAATGAATCCATTCAAACATATTACCTTCAGAAAAAGCTTGGAAAAATAAATCTACACTTCATTTCCTCTTCAAGTTTTACAGTGAGGGAAGAATTAAATGAGATTTTCACTCATTGAAAAGGATTTGTTTCCATTAAAGCACAGAATGACAAAGAGCAGCATTTTCAATAAAATGAGATTTTTTTTCCATGACAGTGCTGCACTAATTCAAATTTAAGAGGTTTTTTTTTCAGTTTCAATATTATTACTACTTTAATCCATTGATCAAACACTTCTCYTTATCATCATAAAGCAATTATGCTTCAATAACTGCTAAGACTTGGTCAGCTGGACTTTCCTACATGAGTGATTTATAGAAACAGTGCCAAGAAATCTTCATGGTCTGCTCCTGAGTGGCACCTGGCCTCAAAAATCACTATGTTTTTACAGCCCCAAAAACATAATCATTTTTACTATTTTTTTACAGCCCTAAAAACGTAATCATTTTTCAGGTGGTGCTGAGATGTTCATACAACCCTCAGATCTTAAAAATGGAAGATAAAATCGTAATTTTAAAATAAATAAATTTAATTTTTTTTTATTTAGACAATATTTATTTTTTCATTTAGACAATAAATTTTAATTTTTTTTGATTTTCATTTTTAATTTTAAATCACAAAGTTACCATTTACCACATGGTTCACCTGATACATTCTCTGTCAGGTCAGAAGAACTCATTGATTTTTTTCTCTAATACTGGTTTTTGCCCTCCCATTTTGGGTCCAAACACTGGGATTAATACAAATCCTCAAGAAAATTCCATTTAAACAATGTCCAATGACAGCAAAATCTCCATCCCCTACCTTGGTCAGCCACTCCAAGCATTTTTTTTCCTGACAATTAAAATTATCTGATGTATCCTGAATTGTCCTCTTGCCTTTCAGATCCTGTTTTTTCCTTCCCTGCTGAATTCCAGAGTAATTCTGCACCTATTTGCAGGAATTCTGCCTAAACTGAGCTCTAACCCATTTCAGTTTTACGACTCCCTCCTGCATTTCACAATGGTTGCAATGTGGTGTATTTCAGAATTAAAAAAAATCCTTCCAATATTTCAGTGCCCATCCAAAAAAAACAGAGAAAATAATTAATAAAGTTCCAAAATGAGCCACACCCAAGCCCTGGGTCGTGTTTTCCCTTATTCCTACTCTTTAATATCTATTTTAGAGGTCAGTGGGGGTCAACAGCACTTTTTTTTAATACAATCCTGAGGCATAAACTGCTGGTTTGATGCTTCATTCCTTCCAGGAGTTCCTGCTCCGTGATTTCCCATTCTGGATATCAAACATTTGAATTAAAACCACATTTTGAATCACTTAATGCAAAAAAACCATAAAATAATACCCCAAATCACCCCAATTAAACACCAAACCTCTGCAAGGTCCTCAAAGCAGCTGCCAGCCAGAGGGTGAGGGCTGCTTTCATCTGTCATTTCCACAGTGTCCTCAATCAATCCCAAAAGCTTCACTGTCAGCTCGTGGATGTCTGAAATGTTGCTAAATATCACATCAATGTCCTGCAAACACAAAATGTGGCTCAGTTCAGGCTGGAATATTAATTAGGAGAATGGAAATATTGGAGTGGGGTTTGTGTGAACCGAGGGTAAATGGAGAAAGGCCAATAAAAATCAAGGAAAAGTTAAAATTCTGTGGTTCTTCCCAGCCCTCCCTGAGCATTCAGAGCTGCCCAATTTCCACACCATCCTTCCCAGGAGCTGCTGGGATCACAGGACAGGCTGGGATCTGGAATTCTGTCCCCACATCTGCACAATTCCATCAGCTCCTGAGGAATTTCCACACCCAGCTGGAATGGGAATGGCCCCWGCTGCCTCTTTTTAACCTTAAAATTCCAGTTTAGGTTCTGCTGGCCTGTCCCCTTCTCTTAATTCCTAATTCACCAATCCCTCTTAATTGCTSCTCTTCACAGAGCTGTGCTTCCTTTTTAGACTCCAGCATTCTGAGAACAAAATTTGCCACAGAGACAATTTCCATCAAATATTTCCATCATTTATCAGAGATTCCCTTCACAGTTAGAGAATCCACAGCCTAAAGCTGTTTTAATTGGAATTTCTACAGATAAGGAGYAGCTTTTGAATGTCAGTTCAAGCATTCACTGCACATGCAGGGAGGTAACTTTAATTTTTGTGTTAAGCAAAAATGAAACTTTTAAGTGACCAAAATAATCCAGCTACTGCTGRTGTCTGACAGGGAATTATGTCCATTAAACTCCACTCCCAGGCTATTAATGGCAATTCCCCCACTGGATTTCACACCCAGACAACACTCATTACTCAGTGACAGACAATAAATCAAATTTGATTTTACCTCCAACATAGTTCATGCAAAATTGATAAGTTCTGGCTGCTAATGGAGCAATTAGTGCTGCTCATCAATAAAGGACTCACGTGAGGTGTGAAGAGCCTCCTGTTGGACAGAAAAGCTTCCCGAAATACTTTGATGATCAGGTTGAGCTCYCTCAGGTACTGCCTTTCTTCTGCAATCTCATTTCTCACCAGGTCGTAGTAGTTGAGCTCCCCAGAGGAAGAGGGTTCATCCTCACACAGAGAAACCAAGCCAATCTCATCCTGATCAAACATATCCATCAAAACCTGGCAAAGAAACGGAGACAATCACACCCAGGCAGATTTTCACACTTGGCTCCAGCTCAGCTATTTCAATGTGTTCAGAGAAATCCTTGGAGTTTTTAAGACAATYCTTTCTGTGATCACTTTCACAAGGGAGGAATATTTCAATTTTGGCAGCAGGAGGCTGCATCAGTTGCCAAAGCCATTTTCCCCCTTGGAAGTGAGCACGACCTAGAAAACAAGTTACAATTCAGAATGGACTTGGAAAACAAGGAATCTTGCATAAGTCTTGGACAAAACCTCCTGCTGAAGATAAAACCCAACAAAAATGTTGCTCATTTTAATGGGCATGAAAACTAAAGGTCTTTTTTGTGTAATGAAGGAGAGCTGCCATGACAAAGTGACATCAGGAGGGTGTGACAGCACAGAAATAAAGGACAGCACCATTTGCTGTCCTTAYACTGCTTCTGAGGGCTCCTGCTGTTCCAAAACTTATCCAGGCTTAACTTAAAGGTAAATTTTTCTGTGACAGGTCTGGCMTGAACAAGGAGAGAAGCTTTGCCTTTGAATTTACATTTTTGCTGTGACAGATTTGGCACAAACAGGGAGAGAAGCTTTAACTTTGAGTAAAACCAGGCTCTCCTGATCCTCTTTTGAAAACACCTTCCAAATCAAATCAAATTTCAAAAATCACCTCTAAATGCTGTTTTAATGCCAACTCCTTACCTTATCAGCACACATTGAGACTTTAATGTCCTGCTGGGAGATCTCAAAGTGTCGGATATTGAAAACATARTTTCCAGCCAGCTTTAAAATGTCAGCTGAGATGTATTCCAAGACAGCCACGATATACAGAGAGACATGGTAATCCACCTTATAGCCCAGGACCTCCTGCAAAGTGAAAACAAGAAAAAACAAATGGTATTTATTCCAGAAATTCATCTAGAATGACAATAAACACATTGAATTTTTGACTGAAATGGATCTTGTCTGTGGTGGTAATTTACAGTAATGGAACACACAGGGCTGAGGACATAAATGGGAATTGGAATATGTGCCTGGAAGGAGATGTTTGTAAATAATTGTGTTATTTTGCAGTATTTTAAAAGATGAAAAGCTACAGAACTTGAAATAATCCCTCTTCTAAAAATGCCAGTCCTAAAAATAGAGTTCTTTTAAGGAAAAGACTTCACTGGAATTACTCCTGTATTTAAATTCCCATCTCTAGGTGTGCTTGTTGCAGGAGTCTGGACTGCTGAGAACAGGGCAAGCTCCACTGTCACAGAATCATGGAATAATTTGGGTGGGAAGTGACCTTAAAGATCATCTCTTCCACCCTGTGCCAAGCCAASTGAGCACACTGTATCCTTAAACTATATAAAATAATTAAAGTTTAATAATGAAAGCCTGAACAGAAAAAACCCAGGATGAATGTAGGACTTTAACCTTGGGAACATGCTCCATGTTCTGGAGATCTTGTACCACGGAGCTTTTTACCTGTCAATAAATACAGGTGAGTTTGTGCATTTGAATAATGGACAAATTCAAATTCAAGCTTGTTCTCATTCTGTGTTGGTGCATTCTGTAAAAATCACATTCTGGGCTTGTTTTCATACTTTCAAATCAGATTTTGCCAAAGGACACCATGGTGTTTAGGAAGATCTTATTCAATGCTGTTTTCTCTCTTAACATCCCCTCTCATTAACCCTCAGGACCTGAGATGTCCTGAAAAAGTTCTTTTATTTCTCCTTATGCTCCAATAAAGATTTTCCAGCAGCTGGAAACACCTTTGCAGATCCTGTTTTTTAAACCCAAGGCACTGGTGACATTCAGCAGTGGCTGAAAAGACACTGACACACATCTTGGAACAGGATCTACTTGTTCCCTCTTCTATTTTAGCCTCTGCAGCATTTTGAAACAAAGAAAGGCATCATCAAAGCAGCACTGCTGAGGTAGGGAAGATATCYGAGTTTTATTTATATTAAAAGCTAACTAATCATTTTTCAAAGTAGGACAATATATTAACACACTGATGTTAATRTATATATTTATGAGGATTTTWTATATATATATWTTTTCCTATATATAGGATTTTTCCTACATATATTTAGGATTTTTTAATGTTGYCTTGAATGTGACAAATGTAAGGATTTACTTTTATTACACCTACAATAAATTCAGTTTTAGGGTGACTCTGCTCCCTCCAATAAGAGAAAATTAACTTTCATTTCACACTAATTAACACACTGAGGGTGAGAGGTACCTTYAGCAAAGGATGGATTTTGTCCACAGGGAGCAGGAGGGGGTTCCTTCTTTTCCGTTTCTCGATGGCCGACTGAGCATCAGCGATGGCCCATTTGTCTATGGGGTGAGGAAACGTCTTCTGAACCCGYTCCTGCCCAAACACAGAGAGCTCTGAGACCAACCCCAGCCACCAGGGAGCTTTGTTTTTTTAAATAAAACCCAGCACAGCAAATTGCTTCCCCTCCAGTACTGATAATTATCCTYCTCCTCGGTGTTTGCAACACGTTTTCCTAATTGTTCTCTCCTTACCCAACTCAGCTTTTCTCTTCTCAGCAATCCCAAACTTGTCCCTTCCCCAAGCAACAAGAATGCCTTCAAATCTCCTGAAAATCCTCCTTTATAATCTTTACAAGAAAGATCCAGCCTCCACTTCTAGTGGAAGGTGTTCCTGCCCATGGCAGGGGGTTGGAAATGAATGATCTTTAAGATCCCTCCCAATCAAAATTATTTTGGGATTCTGTGAGATCAGGAACCCAAAACAGAAACACCACCCAAAAGTATTAAACATTTTACAGACGACAAAAAAAAATCCAAGTTGATATTGTTCCTGTTAGAGAAAAGAGTGTAATTTGCCCTACATCAGATCAAATTTATGTCAGGAATGAAAATCTGAAGGATGAGCTGAAAAAAAAAGTGGAATATTTGTATCCTTTTGATTAAAAGATTTTTGCACATCTTCCAAAATCTAAAAGGAAGCTCAAGGTCTTCATAAAGACAAATATTTTTCATGCCCAACTTTCTGATCAGCTGTCAGATTAACACAGGGTGACCTTTCCTCTTGGGGAGTGCTGGGCTGGACCCCCAAATCAGCCTTCCCTGGGATCCTGCTGGGAAATCCTCCCAAAAATGGAGGAAACGTGGAAATCAGCCATCCTTAACTGGGAATAATGAAATTCCAGAATGGTTTGGGATGGAGGAAGCTCAAAGTCAGTTCCAGTTCCACTGTCCCAGGCTGCTCCAAGCCCCAATTTGGACATTTCCAGGGATMCAGGGGCAGCCACAGCAAATCTGGGAATTCTGTGCCAGRSCCTCCCCACYTTCCCAGCCAGGAATTCCCAATTCCCAAYATCCAACCCAAACCTCACAAATMACACAGGCCTTCCATGCTCCAACACTGCTTCCCACTGTTTTCTTAGAACAATTTGAAGGGCTGTTTCTATTTCTAAAACATTTCTAATTTCAGATTTTCAGACCTCGATCCTGTGAATACTTAGCACATTTTGCACAAACAGTTCCATGAGCTCCAGGCTGTTATGTAAATCTCTGCATGACAAAACTTCATCTCTCATCTTCTCCCCTAACAGCAAAAACCAGCTGAGAGGCAGATCCCAAATCCTTTATCCCTGGATCTCAGATGGCTGCTGGCAGCAAAACCACCCCAACAACCCAAACATAAAACTGAATTCTAYTTTTYMWGCTCTGGAAGAGTCTGAATGTGCTSAMMTACAGAGCAGCATTTTGGGGAAGAACTATTTAGATTCTGTAGTTTAAATTAAATCATTATTATATTGCCAAGATCAGCAATATTTTATTATTCCCAGTAATAAAATGCCAGGAAAATAAAATATCCAGGATGTGGCATTTGYTGTGATAATCACAACTCCATCTATCTCAGGGCTGCCTGGATCGGGGGCTCAAGGGTTTGATCAGCTGGGAACCCCACAAAGAACATGGAATTTCTCAATCCAAAGTTCAAATCCTGACTCAAATCCCCTTCTCCAATCCCAAGAGCTATTAAGGAACTATTAAATTTTGCTTTTATTTAGTGATATTACAATCTTTATGCATCAGTATTAAACAATGTTAATAATTAATGTTGAGCAAGGGTATCTAATAAGAATTTAAAAACTTTTGAGCAATTATTTTGCCAATACATATTATATATCTATACATATCTATATATTTACCTATATGTTATAATTTACCTATAATTTTCTTCCATTTCCATGACACACATAATTTATATTATATTTTATATATTTAACATGATATAGTTATTTCATAAAATCATAATACAAATAGAAACAATTATATAAATATAAATATAAATAGAATGTATTAATATGTTAGTAATATAGAATTATATAAATATAATACATAAATGTTGTCTATATTTTATAATTTTATATATTATATTTATATATTATATTTATATTTATTATATATTATGACATTAATATAATTATTATGTAGGATAATTTGGGCACACATAAAGTTCATATTTTTATATATATAAATAAATTATTTCTATATAAAATATATTGTGTGTGTGTATATATATATATATATATATATATATATATATAAATATAAATATATATATATAAAAATAAATAAAATTTAAAACCCCCATAAATTAGAAATATATATATATTTTTAATGTATCTGTTAATTTCCACAACACACATACACAATACCACACCAAGACTTCATCCTGGATCAGGCTGAACATCCCAGACCTACAGATTGATRCAAAATTTTAATTCTGCAAAGCTCTATGGGGTCACAGCCACATGGAAGGACTTTCTCCCTGCAGASTCCATTAAACCCTCATTTTGGAATGATGACACAAAAGCTGACAGCTGCAATAATACAAGAGCCTCAGTGAGTCCAATAAAGTCCCAGCAACATCCAACTCTATTCCCTCAGCTGCACAATCCAGGCCTGACAACAGGAAATCTTTCATTGCAATGTTTCATTCCTTTTCTTGCATATCGATGTCAAAAAAATAGGAAAAACTTAAATCCAACGTTTAAGCAGCAGAAAATAATTGGAAGCGTTTTGCATTTATAAACATATTGCTGAAAGGAAAAATTCCCACYATTTCTATTCTGAAGTGCTGGCTAAGAAAATAAGTTTCTAAATAAAGTTTTTTATAAAATTTAAATAGAATCAGAGGATTTGGGTTGGAAGGGACCTTAAGGATCATTCATGCCATGGTTAAGGACAACTTCCACTATCCCAGGTTGCTCCATCCCCACTTCTAGGAGTGGAAAAGCCACAAAATCACGTTAAAAACCTCTGACTTCCAACCTGCACTGCTCCAATTATCCCAATTAATTTCAGCAATTCCAGAAGCAAACCTGGAATGTTTTGCAGCCTCCATTCCTACCTCCACATCCTGCACGGTCCGGGGYTGGGCGATGCAGAGTTTGTTCAGCAGCTGCAGGATCAGCTCCTCAATGTAATAGAGACAATCTTCCTTTGCCGAGAGATTGGGGTGAACCTGCTGCTGCACCTGGCCAAAGGAATTGGAAAAATTAGGAATTTTTAATGGAAAGTAGTGCAAAAAGGGATAAATCCTAGAAAAAGCAGGGTAAGTTTGGAGTGCAGTGCTGCAAATTCACGCACTTCGAAGAATTCAGATTTTTTAATGGAAAACTGCAAAAAGGGACAAATCCCAGCACAAGTGGGGTAAATCTGGATTGCAGTGTTGCAAATTTACACACTTTGAAGAATTCAAAAAATTAGGATTGTTTAATGGAAAGCTGTGCAAAAAGGGACAAATCCCAGAAAAAGCAGGGTAACTCTGGATTGCAGTGCTGCTTCAAAGAATTAGGATTTATTTTTATGGAAAGCAGTGCAATAAGAACAAATTCCAGCAAAAGCGGGATAATTTTGGATTGCAATGCTGAAAATTCACACACTTAGAAGAACTCAAAGAATTAGGATTTTTTTAATGTAAAGCAGTGCAAAAAGGAACAAATCCCAGCAAAAACAGGGTAACTCTGGACTGCAGTGCTGCTTCAAAGAATTAGGATTTTTTTTTTTTAATGGAAAGCAGTGCAGTCGGAACAAATCCCAGCAAAAGCAGAGTAACTCCGGATTATAGCGCTGCAAATTCACACACTTCAAAGAATTCAAAGAATTAGGATTTTTTAATGGAAAGCAGTGCAAAAAGGACAAATCCCAGAAAAAGCAGGATAATTCTAGACTGCACTGCTGCAAATTCACACACTTTGAAGAATTCAGATTTTTTTATGGAAAGCAGTGCAAAAAGGAACAAATCCCAGCAAAAACAGGGTAACTCTGGACTGCAGTGCTGCAAATTCACACACTTCAAAGAATTCATAGAATTAGGATTTTTTAATGGAAAGCTGTGCAAAAAGGGACAAATCCTAACAAAAGTAGGGTAACTCTGGACTGCAGTGCTACAAAATCATACACTTCCAGTCATTTCCCACAAGTTTTCCTATGGATTTAAGGTGGTAATTTCTATTCCTGCCAAGCTGGCACCTGTGTGGAATTACGAACTCCGTGTTTTGCCATTATGGTAGGAAGGAGTGTSGAGCCAAGGCAGATTTGTGGCAGCACTGAAACAATCCCTGTGGGTAACTCGGATTCTTTTTTTTTTTTTAATGGAAAGCAGTGCAGTAAGAACAAATCCCAGCAAAAGCAGGGTAACTCTGGATTGTAGTGCTGCAAAGTCACAAACCTCAAAGAATTGAAAGAATAAGGATTTGTTTTTAATGGAAAGCAGTGCAAAAAAGAACAAATCCCAACAAAAGTGGGGTAAATCTGGATTGCAGTGCCGCAAATTCACGCACTTCGAAGAATTCAGATTTTTTAATGGAAAACTGTGCAAAAAGGGACAAATCCTAGAAAAAGCAGGGTAACTCTGGATTGCAGTGCTGCTTCAAAGAATTAGGATTTATTTTTTATGGAAAGCTGTGCGAAAAGGACAAATCCCAGCAAAAGTAGGGTAACTGTGGGTTGCAATGCTGCAAATTCACACACTTGAAACAATTAGGATTTTTTTAAGGAAAGCAGTGCAAAAAGGAACAAATCCCAGCAAAAGCAGAGTAACTCTGGATTGCAGTGCTGCAAATTCACACATTTCCAGTCATTTCCCACAAGTTTTCCTATGGATTTAAGGTGGTAATTCCTATTCCTGCCAAGCTGGCACCTGTGTGGAATTACAAACTCCGTGTTTTGCCATTATGGTAGGAAGGAGTGTCRAGCCAAGGCAGATTTGTGGCWGCACTGAAACAATCCCTGTGGGTAATTTGGAGTTACTCATGCCCTGAGTGAATAATTGCAGTGACGTTACCRACCCTAATGAGTGACTGATGGAATCAGCACCTGTAGGAACAGCTCACCCCATCTAAATGAGCAGCACAGACTCACCACAGGAAAAGCAAGGAAAAGCTGAATTCCATCTCTCTCCAAAGCAAGGCATAATTCCTTTAATTTCTCTTTATGGARATTAATCCCAGTTTTGATTTCTAACCCATAACTAGACCAGACAATCCAAAACAGGCAATCCCCACACATAAAGGGCCACAATTAGCTCATCCTGGGTCAGCAGGGTTATTTCCTGCTAAAAATCCCTCCAATCAAACCACCCCACCTTAAAAAGAAAAAAAAAAAAAAAGCAAAAACTTAAAAAAAAAAAAAAAAAAAAAAAAAAGCACTCGGGAGTTATTCTCCATACTCAGTTTTCCCTGGCAGCCTCTCAATCAGGAAAGTGCTCACTAGATCTCAAACTATAGCCAAAAGATTTGTAGGGAATACAATCCAGGGAAATTCCCTCCTCTCCCCAAACAAATTCCATGTAAATCACCTCAAAAAATTCATCTGACATACTCACATTGGCATTCATAGGATAAATGGGGCGGCAGGTTCTGGGAYAAGACAGAAACATCTTTGGATTAAATTCTGATCCTCTGAAAGAGGGGCACAGCTCCTTCCAAAACCCATGGAGGAGTTCCCAAAAATTGGAGGGCTTCCTCCAAATTAAGGAGAATCCCAGAATGATTTGAGTTGGAAGGGACCTTAAAGTTCACCCCATTTCACCCAGGGACACCTTCCACTGTCCCAGGGTGCTCCAAGCCCCAATGTCCAGGACATTGCCAGGAATCCACAGCAAATCTGGGCACCCTGTGCCAGCCCCTCCAAACCCTCCCAGCCAGGAATTCCCAATTCCCAATATCCCACCTAAACCCTTCCCAATATCCCATCTAACCCTGCCCTGTGTGAGTTTGAATCCAGCTGTCCAGTTTTATTAGGAAATTTTTTTATAGCCCTGTAATTAATTTTGCTTTCTGTGCCTCAAACATTGAATTTCTGCTTTACACAACTGATTCCCAGYTGAGAGGGACACAAGATCCARACAGAAAGAAAGAATCCTCRAGAAAAYYAAACCMAYTYCWTGAAAACTCTTACTTAAGACAGCAKRTTTGCAACAATAGCCAGGGCATTTGGTGTTCTTCCTGAACGTGAGGGTTTAATTCACAAAACAATGGGAAAGCAGGAAGTGGTGAGTTAAGGTCCTGCCACGTGTCTGATTTCAGAAAGCACCAGCAGCAGGACTCAGCAAGAAAATCAAATGCAATTCTGTGTCCCTGCAATGAACCCTTAATGATGCTCCAGAGAATGGACAAGAACAGCAACAGAGAGAAGAGGAGGAAGATTCCGAGAAGATGGGAACTCCCATTCTCTGGATCAGATGCTGCCGCTCTCCTCCCTCCAGTGCCTTGTTTCAGACAGACATCCCTGCACCAAAAAATGAWTTCATTTGTACCTGACTCCAGCTCCCAGCTCTAAACAGCTCATGCCATGCTCTCCTAAACTCTCCTGGGAGCACGTGGATATCCAGCAAGGCGGAGGAGCAGTGGAGGAGCACAGAGCCCTCCTCCAACAGTGACAGTGAATCTCAGCTTTGTCTTAGGAATACAGATGATGGAATTTTGGGATGGCCTGGCTTGGAAGGGACCTTAAATCCCATCCCATTCCACTCCTGCTGTGGGCAGAGACACCTTCCACTGTCCCAGGGTGCTCAAAACCCTGTCCAACGATGCCTTGGGCACTGCCAGGGATCCAGGGGCAGCCACAGCAAATCTGGGCACCCTGTGCCAGGGCCTCCCCATCATCACATCCAACAATTCCCAATTCTCAATATCCCATCCATCCCTGCCCTGTGGCAGTGGGAAGCCATTCCCTGTGTCCTGTCCCTCCATCCCTTGTCCCCAGTCCCTCCCCAGCTCTCCTGGAGCCCTTTTAGGCCCTGGAAGGGGCTTTAAGGTCTCCCTGGAACCTCCTCTTCCAGAACAACCCCAACACTCCCAGCCTTTCCTCACAACTGTTCCATCCCCCAAATCATCCCCATGGCCCTCCCTAAGTCCTGGAGTGAATTTYCCTTCAAAAGGAGCAAAACAGACAACAAATCCCAACATCTCTTGGTTGAGACAACTCTCCCCAGAGGATTTAGAAAATCAGCTGCCACCTGAAATGATGCTGCCTGCAGCACCCTGAAAGTGCTCCTGCATTCCCCAGCTTTCAGAGAAGTTATTTTGACATAAATGCTGAGGAAAAAAAAAACCAATTTGGTATCAAGACACTGTTTTTCAGAGCAAAACAAAAGTACTGTAATAAAAGCTGTGCAGCAGCTGATCAAATCAGCTGCCACCAGATCAAGGAGAGAACACTTATTCTTTACAGCACTCCCTAAATCCCAACTGAGAGGACTGGAAAAGCACTGGGAGATGGATAAAGCACTGAATGTAAGGAAAAAAGGAGGGGGAATCACTGGGAATGTTTCCTCTGGTTCAGACTGAAATATCTGAGCACAATAATATCAACTGGCATGGAATAAATAGGATTAATCTGCTAATTTTTTACGMGTCAAAATACCCTTTAAAAACCCACAAGGTGCTACACTGACCAGCCAGAGCTCTGCTGCAAGAACCTGAGCAGAAGAGATCACAGAAATCAGATTTTTTTACCTATTTTAGCTCTGAAATAGCAGAGTGTCTAAACTCATTAAAGAGAGATTAGATTAGCAGGACTAATTTTTAGTGTCATTCACACAGGATAAATCTGAGCTGTTCCAAGGAACAGAAATTAAATAACAGGTACAAGACTTTCTGGAAGACACAATTTGATTTTACACTGAAATTCCTAAATTGCTCCTTCTCTTGCTCCTCAATTTTTCTCTTCTCTTCCATCCCCCCCAGAATGTGTGGATTTGCTGAAAATCCTCAAAAACTTCTCCTCCAAATTCCTTCTCAGTGAGGTATGATWAATGTTCAGGAAAGATGAGGATGGAAACTTTTCATGGAGATAAATGCTATTAAAACCAGAAACAAACTGATGTTATTTGTTTTTTTAACTAACATAATGGCAGGGTTAATTCTGAAGCACAGGAATTCTGGATCTCAGATTTGGGGAAATCCAGAAATCCAGAGTGTAAAAGCAGTGATCAAAGGGTTCCATTTGAAATTATAAAAAGCTGAAGGG